ACACACACTCTCACTCACACACACACTCTCTCACTCACACACACACTCTCACACACACACTCTCACACTCTCACACACACACTCACACACACACACACACACTCACACTCACACTCTTGTCTGTCCGTGTCGTGTGTGTTTATCCCGTGTGTGTGTGTCCGCAGGAGCTGTGTGTTCAGGCTCATGAGCAGCAGCAGCATTCAGTCATGCAAAGATCGGAGCAGCTCCGCCAACACCACACCGCACAGCTGGTGAGTAACGTGCCGTAACAACGGCAACCTCAACCCACTGCATCACCCCACAAAGCATCCCATAATACCGTCGGATCCGTGGGCTATCTGTGGGCCGACTGAGTTGCCATGACGACCGAGCCTTCAGTCCGGCAGGGGTCACGCTCACGTTCCCAGAATTCCCTGCGCTGGAGTGACTGCAGATCTGAGGCGCTGATTATGTTTGTGATGTGAATGTGGCACACGTGTGCTGTTAGTGAGCGTATTCTCAGCCAACTCTGAGCAGTCACAAACACACGAGACGTCTGAGATTCGTGAAAAAATACTTCCAGCAGCATGGTGTGGACGTACTGCTGTATGTGTGTTTAAAGGGATAGTTCACCCAAAAATAAAAATTCTGTCATTAACTACTCACCCTCATGTCGTTCAAAACCCGTAAGACTTTCGTTCTTAAGATGTTATTGATGAAATCCAAGCGCTATCTGAGCCTGCATAGACAGCAAGGGAACTACCACAGTCAAGGCACAGAAACGTAGTAAGGACATCAGTAAAATAGTCATGTGACTTCAGGGATTCAACCGTAATCTTTTGAAGCTACGAGAATACTTTTTGTTCGCAACGAAAACAAAAATAACTTTATTCTACAATTCTTCTCTTAAACGTAATTGAATACAGAATGAAAATTAATTAAATGAAATTTGCATTGAAATTATTTCATTATATTTAATGAACTTGTTTTTTATGGACAAGAGTGGATGAGCTCTTCGTTTCCCAGAATGCAGCAGTCTGCCATATGACACTCCATTCTGTTGGACTGATAACGTTTCTGTGTTGCATTTCTTTCTTCATGTTGTGTGTGTGTGTGTGTGTGTGTGTGTGTGTGTGTGTGTGTTTGATCAGAAGCGAGAGAAGAGGAGAGCTGAGGAAGAGCAGATGAAGCAGTGGGTGGAGAATGAGAGAGCAAAGACGCTCAACAGAGTGCGCAGCTTCAGAGAGGTGAGGCTGTGAGCGTGAATGTGTGTGTGCGTGCGTGCGTGTGTGTGTACGTGCGTGAGTGTGCGTGTACGTTTGTGTGCGTGTGCGTGTGTGAGTGTGTGTGAGTGAGTGAGTGAGTGTGTGTGTGAGTGCGTGTGTGTACGTGCGTGTGTGTGTACGTTTGTGTGCGTGTGAGTGTGCGTGTGTGAGTGCGTGCATGTGTGTGTGTGTGAGTGTGCGTGCGTGTGTGTGTGAGTGTGCGAGTGTATGTGCGTGCGTGTGCGCGTCTGAGTGTGCATGTGAGTGCGCGTGTGTGTGTGTGTGTGTGTGTGCATGTGTGTGCGCGAGTGTGCGTGTGTGTGCTTGTGTGTGTGAGTGTGTATGTGCGTGTGTGTGTGCGTGTGTGCGTGAGTGATGTGTGTATGTGTGTGAGTGTGTGTGAGTGTGTATGCGAGTGTATGTGTGTGTATGTGTGTGAGTGTGTGTGTGAGTGTGTGTGTGAGTGTGTGTGTGAGTGTGTGTGTGTGTGAGTGAGCCTGTCTGAGTGTGAGTGTGCGAGTGTGTGTGTATGTGCGTGCGTGAGTGTGTGTGATTGAGTGTGTGTATGTGTGCTTGTGCGTGTGTGAGTGTATGTGCGCGTGAGTGTGTATGTGTGCGTGTGTGTGAGTGTGTGTATGTGCATGTGTGTGTATGTGCGTGTGCGTGTGTGAGTGTGTGTGTATGTGCGCGTGCGTGCGTGTGTGTACGTGCGTGTGTGTGTACGTTTGTGTGCGTGTGAGTGTGCGTGTGTGAGTGCGTGCATGTGTGTGTGTGTGAGTGTGCGTGCGTGTGTGTGTGAGGGTGCGGTTTGAATCAGACTAATTTCTTAAATGTTTACATTAATTATTGAACATAAATGATATCCGCCATACATTTATGTTGGTTCTGTTCTGTTTACCCGGTTATTGCTGCTCTCCCTGCTCTTATCCACGCTAGGCTGCATGTTCTTGCCCGGAACAGAACCATACCGCCAATCCAGACTGTATGCTAATTGTCAGTCATCTCAACTTTGACAATAGTGGTCCTGCCAGAAATAGTGTTTATGAGGTCGATTGAATTATTTTATTATTCACAGAACTGCATCTCCAGCGGCCGGATTCACAAAATATAAAATAAAGTTCTTGAATGTTTTCTTCTTGTGTTTCATCTTAAGGAAAGAGTTATGAATAGTTTGTATTCTCAAAAATACTTATTCTAGTCTAGTTTCTTGTACTTAAGAATTCAAGTTTTTTGTAAAATCTTCTTAAAGTTAAGAGAAGCTCAGACTCATCCTAAATCCTCAAAGCTGAGCCAGTCATTAAACGAAGACGTCTCGTGCGTCACATTCAGGAGCGGCTCGAGGAGCTTAGAGAGGGTTCATAGCGGGACAAATATTAAGAGCAGCGTAAACTTCTGTTCGTTCAATTTGCTAGATGAGAGAGTCAGGTTACATCCGAGTGTGTCATTTCAGTCATGTTTCAGTCTGTGAGAGTTTCACCCGTTTGAGTGAATGTCATGTTTGTGATGCAGGATCGATGGACGAGCTGTTAGCGTCGCTGCAGCGAGGACAGACACAGCTGCGGAAGGTCACGGTCAGCACAGAGAGCGGCGACGTCAGGAACAGCCTGCTGTCAGCCATCCGTCAGGGAGTCACCCTGAAGAAAGTCCCGCCCTCCAGCGGCCCGACGCACAGCTCCAACTCGGAGCTCGAGCGGAGCATCAAAGCCGCCATGATGAGGATGAAGAAGGTGTCTAACGACTCTGATGATGAAGAGCCATCAGACGCGCCGTCTGGAGACTGGGAAAGTTAAACACGACTGTCTGTGATTCACAAACACTGCTGCTGGACAACGCCGTTTCAGCTGCCATTTCTGATTGCCATGGCTAACTTCCTTTGCCAAACTTTGGGTTTTTGCACTGATATGTCTTGTCGTAGGAATATATAAGTAATTTTCCATGAAAATATAGCTAGTTGCACTAAACATTAGAAATGTGTGAAAAAAATCTGTGATCTGTGAACGCTTTCATTAAAGTGCCTGGTCAAGATTGTAGCATCTGTATCTGTCTTGTCTGTCTGTCTGTGTTTGAGGGAACGTCTATGACTTATGCAGAATGCTTTTCTTTTCTTGGAACTCTTGATAATATCAAAGCCTGGACCAGTGATTCTCAAAATGTGCTAAACAAAACCTGAACATGGAAATACACACCAACATATGCAATTCATTCAAAACCATATTTCAATTGTTATATTGTATATTTTATTTCAAAATAAAGGTATCAGGTGTCATGCCATTCACAAATGCAGTATGGAGTACCTCAAGGCTCAGTACTAGGACCGTTGCTTTTCACGCTTTACAAGTTGCCCTTGGGAGATATCATCAGGAAACACAGTGTTAGCTCTCACTGTTGTGCTGATGACACTCAGCTCTAGATTTCTTTGTGGCCTGACAAAACATTCAAATTTGCAAAGTTAACGGAATGCATAGACGATATAAACTAGATGACTAGTAATTTCCTACTGCTAAGTTCTGAAAAAACAGGTGTAAATTATCAGCCCAAAAACCTCTGCATGTAATAACTGAAAACACTGATGATGCACTAATGATGTTTGACTTCGCCAGTCGGAGATCACTAAAAATAACATTAAAGAGGTGTGTGAACTTGCAAGCATGATGTCAGACACTGTAATATGCTCTGGTCCCCTCCCTGCTTACCGTGGTGACGAGATACACAGCAGACTGTCGTCACTCAATGGCTGGATGTCTAAGTGGAAGCTTATAGCTTTTAAGAGTATGATGATTTATAACACACAGGGAACATGTTGCATCCACTTAAGTTACAATGGATTATATTTCTCATAGTTATAATGTATTATAAGTCTCATATCTTGCCATCTTTCTTATGCTACTTTACTTAAAGCCATCAAAGACCACGTATAAGTATAGTAATAATAATATTTTTTTCTCAAACAGCCATAAGATCAGATATCAGATCAGATGAATGTGTAATAAGACATTTGCTTTGAACTATTTTTAATGTACTATCAGTTTGATTATTTTGACGGTTCCCCAACAGACAGACTGACTATAAGTAACTTTGCAAGTACGTCAACATTCTACCAACCCTAACCTTAACCTATGCCTACTAATACTCTAATGAGAGTTAGTTGACATGTAGTTGCAAAGTTGCTTATAGTCAATAGACTAAAGGGGCCATGAAAATAAAATGTAACCTAACATAAACATTGCATTTTTTTTTCAGTTTAAATTATTAACTAGCTCACATCAAAATTAATATTAGCCTCACAGGAAACACTCAAATAACACTCCACACCTAACCACTTACAAGCTGTAGTAAGATACTGTGCAGATCTTAAATAAACAATGTCAAGATATATAGTCCATTATAAATGTAAAAATAGATTTTATATGGTGTTCATTGTGTGTTATAAATAATCATAATCTTAAAACTTATAACCACAAATGCGTAAGCATTATAATGTATTATAATTGTTGTTATGATTATTTATAAGATGATATAACATATTATAAGGTCTTTTATAATGCATTATGCATTCATTATAATGCCTTAAGAATACCCTTATAATGTGTTATAAAGATGGGCTTCATAGAAAGTGTTACCAAAGTCTCTTCTGCTCACCAAGGCTGCATTTATCTGAAAAATACAGTAAAACCAGTAATATTGTGGTAAAATTATTCCAATTTGTGAATATCTGTTAAACTGTAATTTATTTCTGTGATGCGCAGCTGTATTTTC